AGTGAACTTTTCCTTTCTTTTTGTTTTTTTTTTTTTGCAAATATTTCCAGTAAAATATTATCAAATATTTTTTCATGTTTCAACGATTCAAATAATCACCAAAAATCTGCAATATATTTGTAAGTTTTGTATATATACATATATATATATATATATATATATATATATATAAAGCTGAAATAAGCTTTTTTCCGCTTCTGTGACGTTAGTATACCTAAGTGAGATAGAGAGAGAGAGAGAGAGGGAGAGAGTGACAGGGAATAAAAACGGTAGATGCTTTAAAGCAACTGTTGGATGATCTTCGACTTTAGCTAGGATTTAATATATTTATATCTCTCATCGAAGGATGAGGCTGATATTCATTTTGTAAAAAATTTTGCAATGCCCAGAACAAAGCATAAGAGATCCAACAAGTATATATTTTTTTTGGATCAGCATTGGACATGCTTATATCTAAATCGATATAAGCATGTCCGTCTGTCTGTCTGAGAGTCCTCTTCTTGGACGCAAAAATGAAGCTGTCGACATTCAATTTGCAAAAGAACTTTTTAAGGGACACGCCTACAACGTCGATTCGCGCGACAGAAACTTTTACTTTGATATTAAAAAAAAACAGCCTCGCCCACACCATATTAAAGAGGATGAAAATTTAGTTGTTTTAGTTTTTTCTCTTTTTTAGGGTAACGGTCATGGGTATAAAAGATCCGATCACGACCAAATGTAATTTTCTTACTTAATTGTTTTTAACGCTACTGCCTTGTCATGATCTATACTAATCCAGAAATAATCAAATAATTGGTACTTAATATAATTGCTACTATTGGATACGATAAGGCGATCAGAAATATGTGGATATAAAAGAAGATATGGTGGAGGTGTGTTCAAAAAGAAAGCCAACTTTCCATGATTTTTCTTAAGGAATATTCAATCATCGATATCTATTTTTTTTCCACTTTAAAGTGATCACCCTTAGATGTAATACATATGTGCTAGCGCTTTTTCATTACTCGAAGCACTTCTGATCTGCGCTTTATGGTATGTCCTTCCAGTATGGCGGTCTTTATTCTCTTAATCGTGGCAAAATTCTGTTCTTTCATGGATCTTTTTCAGTTTTGGAAATAAGAAAAAGACGCTTTGGATCAAATCTGGATCATCGTTGACGTCATTCAACAGCTCTTGAGTTATGCTAATGTTTTTAGGTTATTTTGGCCAAGAATTAGCAAATTCTGAAACAAACTTGGCTGTCGCATATTTCGTGATTAAAACGTCCGAAAAAATTGCATGGCATGAGCCAACCGATAAGCTGATATCTTCAGCAACTTCCCTAATGTTAACTTGATAGCTCTACCTGACAATTTTCATCGTTTCGATCGGTTGTTCACGGGCTGCGACGTCTATGGTGCGCATTGTCATTAACATTTTCTCGGTCGCCTGCGGAAAAGCTTGTATTACTTATAAAAATTTTTGTTTGATCGTAGTAGACTCGCCAAATGGCATAGTCACACATAATTTTATACAGATTCTGTGAGCCATCTTTTCGCCAAACACATTAAAGCACTTCTAACCTTTATATTTGTCAAAAACAAACTGAAACTCCAAAATGGCTAATAATGCTTAAGTAAGTTAAGGGCATGTGTCGAGAAAGAAAGTTATATTTGGCGGAAGCCGAATCTAGCATACCCACTACTATGCTTTTCTTATTCGACCTTACAGGCTCTTTTATTTAATACCCATTTCGGTGGTATTATTAAGAAAACGTTAACTTACCAGGTCGTGAAGTCTACCATATTAATTTGAAAAATAACCCATTTGTAGGCAGATAATATATCCTCGTTTGAAGAATGCTTCCCTATTGTGTGCCTTATGATAAATAGGCATAAAACGTCAAAGAAGTGAAAAAGAAAATTTAATCACTTGTAATTATATGTGATATGTGAAGAGTAGAGTGCATGTAAAAAGTAGAGTGTTTCACAACATTATTTCAGCCTTCTAATTTTAATATTTTCCGGACGGACAGCCATGGCTTAATCAATTCAGAATTTCCGATCAAGAATATATATATTATATAGTGTCTCTGGCACACTTTTTTTAGGCGCACCTTGTATATAGGTAACGTGTTTGTTTTCGTAACTTGCGTCATCAATACGAGTTTTTTTATTCCCCTTACAGCCGGAAATAATATACTCGTATATTAACATTTGTAAATGATTCACATTGGCCATCTGCTGAGATCATGATTACGATTTCAAAACAAGGAAAAACATTATAGTGAAATACGACCCGCCATAAAATAACAGTCATTTATATATCGACTTTTCAAAATAACTTTATATTGGAAATTTATATGAGAAGTGATCCCATTTCTGAAACTGCAATCTGTACGTTGAACGCAAGTAAACTAGACAGACGAAGGGACAGAAAGGTTTAAATCGATGCAGAAAGCGATCTTGTAATAAAATATGAGTCTATTGCGAGCTGTAGCTTGAACCTAAACACACATGGACAGACATAAGACGTACAGACGAACAGACAGGCTTACATCAATTCAGATTATGATTCTGAAGCGATCGGTATAATAAAGGGTGGGTCTACCATCCGGATTTTGCATACATCTACAAAAACTTGATATACCATAAGTATATCATAAGTGATATAGGGCATAAACGCACATTTTGCCGGCGATTTGTCGATGTTCTTAGCACCCAAGCACCCTTCATTTTTTGTTTCTATCGCGAATTATTTTTTCTTAAATTGTAGAGTTTGTGAACTTGCTGTCATGCGTCTGAGGTTTCTTCTGAATAAAATGTTCGTGTTAACTGAGGAGATCAGTAAAAGAAACTGAACGATTTATCGCATTTTCTTTTGTATGCATAATATTACAAATCATATGCGTTTCCAATTACATTTTTATACGATTTGGCAGCACTTTCTAGATAGTTGTTCAAAATAAAAGTTATTTCTATTGTATATTAAAATATAAATATGTATATACACGTACATATATCTGAACTATATATATATATATATATATATGTAAAAATGTCTTCTATATCCAAACAAAATCACGGGTTTGAGGAGACCATAGTTAGGTCCGATGAGTAAGTTGCGTACGTTCGTTTACTCTTATAATGGCTCTAGCGCGTGCATTCCTTTAATGTAATCGTCTGTGTGTGCTACCGAACTAGGTAGCTTTTTAATGATACGTACGTCTATCGGTTTAGAGCCTCCAAACTTAGGACAGATGTCTTATGTTTACTATTTTTATATATAAGGCTGATCAAAAAATTGGTGCAATTCATTTGCACCTACGCCGAAAAAATGAAGATGAATTATCAGATGTTGACTTACTGAGATCTTCTGATCAGATACTGTATAGCAGATGTTGAGATAAACCTTTGCCAAAGCCGTATAAAACCACAATGTTAAAGTGTTCCCCTTCATAGAGTCCCTTCTTATTTTTACGTTCACCCTACAGGTTGATAAGCAATAGTCTTGCATGGTCTCAATGGTCTGCTCTAAATCATTTTCAATCGGTTTAGAAAATTGCGACCATCACTAAAACAAGTGGGCAAACAGATATATAGGAAACGATTCTGAATTGACCGGGAGCATAGAAGACTTAAGACCCCTTAAGTTTTTAATTTCTATCGACTCCTATTTGCTTGCGAATCTCAGAAGCATGCATCAGGAAAAAGAGTTAAATCAAATGATGATTCATCGGGAAAGAAGTTGAAACAAGTTGTAAGGATTTTGGTAAATAGCTTCGTAGAACAGTCGTCTAAATTTTAGAAATGGAGAATATGTTGCGGAGCAAAATCAAACGGATCTCGAGAATCGCATGTATAAGCTTTCTCATTTTTAGGACGAAAGGGAGCACAAACCAAGAAGAAGCTTTACATTCCTCATAAAGTGTATATATTTCTGATCGGAATCAAATGTTGAAACGATTTAAGTATGCACGTCCGCCCGTCTAGGTAATATCTACAGTAAACTCTCTCTTGGTCGCAAAAGTTAGGACATCGGGGCAAATTGCAGATGAAAATCGAGGAAATCAGTTAGGACATACCCTTAGCAAAACCATAAATTGTGGAAGTCTATACTTTCAAAAGCAGAAAAATTGGGCTTCTTCCGCGTTACTTAAAAATTACGATAAATGCAAAAAATTAGCCATGCCCATTCAATAGTATATTTCCAATTTTTTTTTTTTTCTTTTTTTAATATTGAATCTAACAGATTCCGCCATAAGTGAAAAAAACTTCCTATACGACTAGTTGTACAAAGCTGTACTAAGTTTGTGTGGAACCGTCTCAAGAACTTGAGATAGGGCCTCCTTTTATTATGACGATCTAAGTTTGTCTGTCCATCTGTCCGTTTGATTTTCATCAACTATGGGCCTCAATTTCTGAGATCCTTTGACTAACTTAGGTACACTGACGTGTTTTGGTCCAAGGACAATTACTAGTAAAACTGTTTTGGATCGGACCGTGTTTCTGGACATTTTCCATATAACGCCATATTTTAAAAAGTTGTTTTATGACCAACTGCGCAGTGACGTGTGGTTCACTATGATGTTTTTGGTTACTTTGTTTTTAATGTTTTTTATGCTATCAAATAATGAGATAAATTTTATGAAAATTTTATTTAATCTCTTTTCTTAAATTTACTTTTAATTTTAGAAATTTCTTTTTGTTGGTTTCTTTTACAAAAAGAAAAAGACTATAAAAAAACCAATAAATAATTTTAAAAAAAATATGCAAATTATAGTAAATAATAGTCAAAATTAATTAGTGATAAGATCTAATGTTTAATTTAAAAAAAGGCTCCTTCGATTTGTTGTTAAACTAAAACTCGGTTTACTACTACCATCACTAGTACTAACTATTTGTTAGATGTGATTGCGAACTCGCAAAAAACAAATTTTTTTTGTTTTGAAAATATTAATGAAAAGTGCAATAAGTTATAATAAAAAAAAAAGAAAAAACCAAGAAAAAATTAAATCGAAAAAAAACACTCTTCCATTCATTTTCTAATTTTTAGCTAAAGATTTTCATTTGTGTTTTGTGTGTGTGTATGTGAAACTTAGCAAACATGTCTACGGGTCGTCGTTTAGCGAAACGTTCCATAATCGGTACTAAAGTGTGTGCTCCCGGTCCCGATGGTCTTTGGTATTCCGGCGTTATTCAAGATGTCAAAACTCCGCCTACGGCAACAGTAACTAAATGCCCAGATGCTGAGGCCACGGTTGAAATGACGTCAAACGAAACTAAATACATTGTGCGTTTCGATTTTAAAACTCAAGCAACGGAAACGGTAACAAACGGTAACAGTAACTTATCCATACGTAATCGTAATGCGAATCTTAGAGATATTAGTCCGGCGCAGACTTTAAGACGTAATGCTATGATAAAAGAATTCGGTGAATCGGAATTAATCGGTCCAGGTTTTCGTTCGATAATTGGTGTACACTTACAACCGGGTCAACGCGTGTACGTTACTTATAACGGCCGTGAAACATCAGGTGACATTATTCAACATGATGCCGTCAAGGATGAGGTGATTATAAAAATCACACCCATTGGCTTAGAGGTAAATTAAAATTTGATCCTTTTCTTTTTATTGCTAATATCTGCTGTAAGGAGCACACATACATAAGCACTTAGCTGTAGACATACAAGTATTAAGCTTTATTTCCTTATCATATTCTCTGCAACTTTTGCTTGCCATCGTAACTTCTATTCTATTGTTGTTGGCCGACAGGAGACATTTCTTCCTACTCATATTATTTCGCATCTATACATACGCATAACATCCTCTAATGGGTTGATACGAAGAGAAACGTTAAAGGAGAGGGAAGTGGGATGATTATGTACTCGTTTTTATATATCCAACAATTTGTACTCGTTTCTATGTTCGGTACTCGTATATGTTTGTACATCTATTTGAACAATTTATTTTATGTATGTATATTCTGTGCAAAGCATTGCATTTTTGTATCTGTGTCAAGGTTAAAAAAGTTTCGTGTGTAAAATGGGAAAAACCAAATATCTCTCTTTTTTTTCACAGACAATCAACTGTACACTTGTGTATTATAAAGTGTACTAAACCGATGAAGGGGAAGAAGAAGAACAACAAGAAAATCGTAAACAAAACTCTCTCGTAAATTTTTTATTTTCACATCCATACAGATGCAGAATAATACTTTAATATAATTTAAAGCATTTCCCCTTGATGAAGTAAAGATTAAATATTAACCTCGTAGCATATATAATCGCAGATGCTGTACATCTACACCACTTGTTATTATAATACGGTATATTAAGTTCGTGGGAACGTAAATAACACCCAGAAGGACTTAAGAGAGACACAGCTTTTATTACACCGACTTTATCTCTTCATCTATTCATCTGATGTCTTTCCATGTATATTTGTGTTCAAGCTATTAGTCACAATTTTAGACATATATCGATCACTCTTCATAAAACGTCGTATTTTGAGAAGTAGCTGCATCGAAAAAATTTGTAATTTTCAAAATTTTCTGCCAAAACTCGCTTTGTAATAGTATTTCGGCATTCGAAATTGGTTTGAAAAATTTGTTTCGGCCGGGGCAATTTTTTCAGTCCTCTCTCGTATGACAAGAAGATCTAATTTTCTTTGATAAAAAAATAAACCGCCCCAAATTTAGACCATCTCGATGTATTTTTTGACTCCTACTCTATACAAGTATTTTCATGAGAATTGACCCTTTGTAAGGCAAGAAACGTTGCAATTTTAATATTATACGATGAAAATTAACGCATAGTAACAATTTGATATGAAAATTAATTGTACAAAATTTCGAGCACCCACGCCTACTTTTAGATCCTCTCCCATAGAAGGGTATTCACGAAAACGTATGTCAATATGAAAACTAACTCATAATAGTAACTTGAAATGATATGAAAGTGATATGAAAATTAATTAAGCGGAATTTTGAACACATATCTCAATCATTCTTACGGTAAGCCTTAAAGTAAGCTTTTATTTGCAAAGTGGTCTAAGTTTTAATATACCTTTACTACTTTTGAGATATCGTATAAGAAGTTTGGCCAAGAGATAGATCCATGTGGTTCAGATTAGATTCACTTGATTTTTATATTATATTACTATCATGAACAAATGATCATAAAAAAAAAAATTAACATTTAGGCCTCGTTGGCACATTTTACACATCATGAGAATCCTTGCATCCAAAAAATGGTCCTGCATAGTCCAAATTCGATAAAGCTGATTTCTTTGTCGTTTTATTATTATGAACCAATTTTCACTATGAAATACTGAAAATTAGCCGTTTTTGGCACATAAGAGGGGGTTCAAAAAATTTGTCAAGCCAGTATAAAGTTTGTATATCAATTTAGAATCTCGAAAAGTTATTACTTAGTCACTTTTGTCGAGCAGATTTAAAAATTGGAAATTTTTTCTTATAACGACTTTTCAGAATAGGGTGTTATATAAAGTCTGGTCGAGAAAGTGGACGGGTCGGAAACAGTTTCAATAGCGACTTAGAGACTTAGATTAATTCAAAATCGTTTTCGGAATTGATCGGTATTGTGAAAAAAAAGTGGTCCTTGCTTAAGCCTTTCTGCATGTTACATACGTCCGCACTAACTTAATATACCTTGTACTACAAGTAATGTAGGGTATAAACAGGGTATCTATTTTTGTGTTCTAAAGCAATTATAAAAATCTTATTAGGCAATGTTGTATAGGGTATTCTATGGCATGGCTATAATATTTTCACTTGTATTGTTTCATTTTGTCAACCATGTGGTTGGTTTTTCTAGCCGTCTTGCCAGTTACTCGGTAATTTTCCACTAAAATTTAAGTATCAGATCGACTACAATTACAAGTCGTGCAATTTATTTTCTCTTAACTGAAAGATAAATTTATCTAATTTGCAAGTTCATTTTTTTTTTGAGAACGCCCTTCTATGTAAATATATTTATTTTCAATTATAATAACTCAAGTATTATTTAAAGGCGTATACGTTTCTATTCTTTCCTACACTTCTTTGAAACAAATTAAAAACACAAACGGGACAATTTAATAGCTTAACTAATAGGTTATTTCGCCTCATCGTCCTTAGGTAATGGGCTTTCTAATATTACGTATAGTTGCTCACGACGCAATTATTATCTTCTCTACGTCAGCTTTCGCTTTCTAGAGAAGAGTGATCCTATTTATACTTCTGACGAGTTTTTTTTCCAAACTTGAATTAAAAAAAAATTCACATAACGCAATATTTAAGACATCAAAAAAAAATTTTTCTTTTTTTGAATTTTTAAAAAACATTTTTAACACACATTAGTATGGTTATAACCGTGATGTGAATGCGGTTTATCTATACTAAAATTGAATTAAAATTGAATTGAATTAAAATATATTTATATACTTATCTATGACTTAGAAAGCAGATGCATACGAAATGATGAACTGAATAAATTTTATGAATTCTTAACTGCTCTCCAACGTCTTAATTACCGTTAAAGATAAACAAATGTTTAGCACAATTTTAAAGTTAAGAACACGTGAACAATTTGAAAAAGAAAAATAAAAAAAAAAAACAAAAAAATTGTAAATAAATTTATTATTTGCATACGAACACGATTTTTTGTCAAGTTTGAAATTAAGTTAAAAAAAAAAAAATAAATAAAAAACAAAGCAAGTAAAATACTATAGAGGATCGCGGCCCGTCATTAAGTACCCTACAGCATCCTACATATATATTCATATAACGGCTTTTCAAAATAAGATGTTAAACAGGAAATTGTCGAATCTGAATCATTTTCAATACCATTCGTCTTTGAGTTCAAAATCAAGCCCGTATGGTTAAATTCATTAATGTATCTCGAAAATTGAGGCCTATAGATTGAACACAAAAATACAGGATGGGCAGACGGGTAGACAAACTTAGATCGATGTAGAAAGCGATTCTGATTCTATCGGTATAACAAAAAGTGTGTGTATATAAATTCCTTCCGACTATTACATACTTGATACACTTGTGGTGTAGGGTATAGAAATGATTATTACCTTTTAACGAACTTTGGATACATATATAATGAGACATAATATTGTTAATCTAGGGCGTTTGAGAATTTTTACTATCACTTATGAGAAGGCCTTTAAAAATCCTTGCATTAAAGTTAAAAGCAATATATAATAAATATAAGATTTACCTTGTTTGGTCGTCTACCCTATAAGTATTGTTTGATTAGGTAGTACATCATTAGACGGGATGCTTAGATTCCTATTTTAAAAGCTTCATAGATTGTTGATATTTTCTATTAGCCATTATCCTATGCATGGCCTTTGCATACCGTATTCACACTCTATACTTATTCTATGCTCACTCTATGCTTACCCCATGCACAGCCTTTGCTTACCCCGTTCACACTCTATTCTTGCCCTATGCACAGCCCCGTTTGTAGTCTATGCACATCCTACGCTTACCCTATTCATGGTTATGCACACCCTATACTTACTCTATGCACACCCTACGCAATGCGTGCTCTATACTTAACTTATGCATCGCCTTTGCATACCGTTTCATATAGGTTTACATGACATACGTAGAATTTTTTGGGTTGGCTGCAACAGGATCTCAGATACGACCATTTTCTCATAGTCAGTTTCCAAAAAATTTGATAAAATAGTTCCGAAAAGCACAAATTTATTTTGTTTAGCTTGTTCGAAAGGTATTTTTTATATAAATTTACGAGGTGTTCACAAAAATATTTTACCTCTCCTAGTTTGGACGGACCAGCATTCTAAGTACAACTATATCTTAATCCTAACCGTCGCCTTTCGATAAATGTGAATACATACATGCAATACTGAGATATAGCAAAATATCGAAACTAGTTTTTCAAACTTAGTATTCTCGATTTATTCTCACCACACAAAAGTTTCAACCTATAGGTCAAGTCTTGTGTTTCCGGGAGCACCTTCATAACTTTATTTTTAAAAATGCTTTCAATAAGTGTTCTTTCAAGCTGAAACTTATATCCATAATCAAGAAATGAATTGATATTGTTATACATATGCGGTCTAAGGTCTAAGTAATTATTTATTTATGTCTTAAAGAGTGTAGTGTTCAATACATATACGTCCATACGTTCTATTTTGTTAATGCTTTTTTCTCGGCATAATTTTTTCTGTAAACATTCATGGATGGAACTAATTGTTGAGTGTTATAACTAGGTTTGAAAGCAATACTTAGACCCCTTCCCAATCGCTCCGCCTTGCACTTGCATTTATCCAATTGTGTCTCGTCTAGTGGTCGTTTTTGAAAATTGCGCTAGTCAAAAAATTATGGGAAAAAAGGCGAAAAAGGTAGGCATTTGCCGCACACCTTTCCCGACTAAGCTCCCACGATTGCTTCACATAAACTTGGGAACACTGATTTGATAGGTGCGACTCTCATCTACTCGATTATGCGATAAACCACGTTTTCCTGTAGATATAGCAGAGCCACTTTTGCTTACTTGTTTTTCTTCTGCTAATTGCGTGAACTGTCATCTAAAACACAATTTCTTTAAAAATTTTAG